CCGTGCTGAGTCTGGAAGGGCTCAGAGCACCACGCGGCCGGCCTCGGCGGACCCGGTGCCCGAGGTCCTCGCTCTGGGCTCTCTGACCTCCCCGCTTCTAGGTCCCTCGGGCCCTGGGGGCACACGCAGGGCAGAGAGCGCAAGGCAGAAGACTGCGGAGTAAAGAGTTTAGAACATAGCACAACAAGCCGAACATCTTAACGTTATGTCGGGCGTGTCCCCGTACAGGGGGATTTTCGACGATTTTTTTGTTTAAACAAAAAAAGTACCCCAAATATATATATATATATATATATATATATATAAGTCCCCAGACTATGCTTGGACTAATTGTTTGACTATTTTGGGGGTATTTTTTATCTTTTCGTCGACAATCCCCCAGTAGGGCGACACGCCCGACTTAATCTTAACGAGAGAGCGTGGACGACAGGGCAACGAGCAAAGTGGCGAACCGACTGCCTGACGAGCGTGTAGGCCCGGAGGCCATCTCGACGACAGGGCAGAGAGCACAAGGCAGAAGACTGCGGAGAAAAGGGTTCAGAACACAGCACAAGAAGCCGACCATCTTGACGTTATGTCGGGCGTGTCCCACTACAGGGGGATTTTCGACGAACAAATGAAAAACCTAAAGTACCCAAAAAAAGATATTTAAAAGAAGTCCCCAGACTATTTTTGGACTAATTGTTTGACTATTTTTGGGGTACTTGTTTCGTCGAAAATCCCCCTGTAGGGGGACACGCCCGATTTAATCTTAAAGAGAGAGCATGGATGAAAGGTCAACCTCGAGCGTGTCGGCCCGGAGGCCACCTCGACGCGGGCCTCGCGGCGGAGCCTCGGCTCCATCCACGGGGCCTTCTCTCACGGGTCGTCTCGCGCAGTTAGGGGGCCACATGCGAACCGTACCCCTACCCCCCACGATTTCCGAGGGGGAGGGTGGGGTTCACTTCGTTCGGGAGGTCACGAGCGAAGTAAACCCCACCCTCCCCCTCAGAAATCGTAGGGGGTAGGGGTAGGGTTCGCATGTGGCCCCCTAGCAGTGCTTTCTCTGCGTGTACTGTAAAGGAGGACCCAACGCCAACCCACCTCAGCTTGGGGCGCTCTGCTCGCCGTGTCTTTCCGGCAGGCTCCCATTGCAAACGCACGGCGTGCCCAGGAGTAGACAGGCGAGAACAGAAAGTAAAGAGTAGAGACTGGCGGATAGAGCGTAACGGGTACAGATCGCATGCTGAGGGGGAGGGTGCTGAATGTAGGGTAGAGTGTAGAAAGTGAAGAGGCAGGAAGGATAAGGGGGATGGGAAAAGGGAGGGAGGAGGGAGAGAGGTCAATTGATCAGGGCTCGTCTGAAACCGAAAAATAATGGAGGAGTGAGGAGTAAGAAGGGAAGAGGGTAAAAGAAGGAGCGAGGAGGGAGGAGGGCTGAAGAAGGAGGAGGTGGCAGACGAGGATCGGGGGACCTGAATGAGTCCGCCTTGTCTCCCTGAAGCACGCGCGCACTCCTCGTCCGCTGCCAGGGACGACAGGGTGATCTCGTTCACGATCCTCTGCACGTGCGCGAGGTCCAAGCCCTCAGTGGAGTCAGTTCCCTTCTCCTACTCCCCCCCTCGCCCTTCGCATCCCTGACCACCCCCAATGGATACATTGCATAAGTTATGTTGATGCCGAATGCCAAAGTAGTTCCCCAAAAGGCTGTCCGTACCCTGGAGGACGCGCAGATCCTGATGGGAAGGAAGGCGCGGATTGTGTGCAATTAGCGGCGACATTGACTACCACGGAATCCCGCCGCCTCAATCCCACTGCAATGCTCGTACGAAGGACAAAGTCGAAGAACTGTTGGGACATCGTTTACCTGTAGCACGGCTCACAGGCACCAGAAAGTCTTGAACACCGCAACGCTCGTGAACGCCTCGGCGGCGTGGGCACCCTACCGTCTGCGACCACCGCCGCGCCGATGACAACCACAAACTGTGTGAACATTCCCCCGAGGCACGTGAGCACATCAGCAAGGCCTTCGGGACACGCACCTCAGCACATGCGAACACAGCTGCGCCCGCGAACACGACAGTGCATGTAGACACCGCCACCACGCAAGCCTGCTTCGTCCCCCCCCTGGACCTGCACGGGCGGCGAGCTCGAAGATCCGGAGGGGCCGCACCCGATGGCCCAAGCTATCGCCAGAACCCTTGGAGAGAACACGCCCCCTAAGCGGTGGCAGTGCTTGCGCCGACGCCACGAAAGAGAACCAAGAATCTACAAGGTGTAGCCCATCAAAGCGTACAACACGTTTAGGATAGCCGCGGCCCGCACCCCAGTGCACAACGAGATACAGCATGTCACCTACAGCGAAAATGCCACTAACATGCGCAAGTGAGAGGTTATGCGGGCGAACGCTGCCGTTCCGCAGCGCTGGTGAAACTATCAGATAGACGCGAGCGCGTCGAGACGACGGCAGGCTCACGCCGCGATGACGCCGGCGCTGATCTCTGACACCACATGGACCGTTCCACCTTGAACGATCGCGTCTTTCCGATAGCGCAAATCGCTCGCGATTCGGCCGATCCACAGCCAGTGGGGGCGGCCAACCTTGAACGTCCGCGTTCGGTTCGGCCGTGCGCCGCCGCGGCGCGACACTGCCACTCTGCTTTAGAAGTGCCGAGGGAGCGCGCTTCAAATGATGCCCTCACCCCTCGACATCAGAACTGGCTCGAGCGCGGCCACCTCTACCTGTCAAGCCCTGCACCAGCAGCCAAGATCGGCCTTGAACCTTCCGCCGAAAACCCTCGTGAGGCGAAGTTCGGGCACAACAGAAAGCGCTGCTGCCGAGCCGCGTGCGCGGTATATCAGAGGTTTGTTTGTGAGCCCGTTCCGCCGTTGGTGCTTTCAGTTATTGGGTAGGGGTTTGCTGTGTGTTGCTTGGCTTGCTGGTTGATATGACGAGTGGGTGTACTTGCTGCTCACGCCCAATGTTTACTGCTGCTCGCGTGGCTTGCGATTCCGTCAGAAAAAACAATGAGCCGATAAAAACTTACATGCCTCTCAGCACACCGCGTGCTCCTCCTGCACCCGCCTGGCGCTGGTGACCGTCTCGGCCAGCGCGCGGATCGCCGCCGCGCCGATCTCGCCGCGCCACCGCCGTAGGCAGCGCGCCTGAGGCCCGCCGCCGCGCGCGGCCCGCTGCAAGGCCAACTTGCCGAGGACTGCGACGGCGCAGCGCCCCAGGAGGCCGAACGATTCCAAGCCAAAGGGGGACACGGCAACTGCTCCACGGCCATCGGCCTAACTCATTTTTTTTCAAGGCAAACAAGCAGGGGAGAAGGAGGAATCCGCTGCCCCTCAAGGGGACTTTCCTTACCGCGAACCCGAACGAACACGACCAGGAGCACTAGAGGCAGAAAAAAGCAGCAATGGCCCCGGACTCGGGTAGAACGTAACACTCGCGAAGAACCTGCACAAGCAGCAGGGTTGTCCTGCGAACGTGGCCGAAATTCTGACCGCAAACTCGTGCAGACAAGGGGGAAGGAGGAGGAGGAGACAGAGGAAAACCCAGATAGCCAATGATACGAATTCTCTTTAAGACGTATCCAACAGACTCGTTGAAAACGCCAGGGGGGAACGGCCTAACTCATGAATTTGGCCGTCTCCGCGGCCTGTGCAGCGCGGTCGTCCTCTCAGGCTGCATGGCACCGCTTTTCTTGCCAGAGCGGTTTCGCGACTGCGACGACGACCCACTCCTCGTGAGTTCTGGCCTGTGCCCCAGAGAAGGACGTCAAGGCGGGCCCCCAGAGCATCCTCGGCCCCCCGCTCGACGTGCAGGCGCGGCAAGCAGACTTCCTCCGTCCCCGCCTCAATACCGCTCTGCGTCACGAAGCGACGGTGGCAGGCGGAACGGCATTGTGCACGCTTCATCGATACCGGCGGATTCCGCAGAGCTGCGCATGGTCTCCGAAGCGGTCGCAGTGTTTGCCGCATCACATGGCCTCCTCGCGCCTCTGGCTAGGTCTGCGCTGGCAGTCTCGCGCATGGCTGGCAGGCCGAGCCGCCAACTCACTGCATAATGGAAATCTTCGTCGTTCAGCTGGAGAGCGCCGTCACTTGGGCATTGGTTGACCCAATCGTGCGACCCAGTGCCCGCCGTCGACCGCAGGCGCACGCAGTGGCGCAAGTGCGCCGCTGCCTTGCCCTTGAGGCGCTCGCTCTCCACACGGCTGCGCCGAGCAGCGCTCGCAGGCTGGCTGACTGGCTTGCTCTGCCGCCGCGTGCGTGGTCCGCCTGCTGCGCCTCCTGCACCACCCTAGAACGCCGTGCTGCACAGCCCCCCGATCGGGTCGAAGGGCGCCCTGAGGTCCCACCGAGGCTCGGCCTCCCAGGCAACAGTGCCCGAAGCAGTAAATTCAGCACCGGCGAGCCGGCCAGCATCCGCTCGGCAATGTCGAATGGGATGGCGCTTGGGAATATGTCCTCCTCCGCGGCGTTCGGCACCAGCGCCCTGAGGGATTGCCCCCCGTGACCGGCAGGCACTGCCCAAGTGCTGCCAGACGTCCGAGTTTCGCCCCCAACGTGGCTGACCTAAAACACATGCCGCCGAGCTCCGCAAGCCACTGCAACTGCATGGACATGTCTTCTCTCCGCCCGTCGTCGAGGTGCACTCCCAGAAGTACTCGTGCAAAAACGTTGGTGATAGCGTCCAGCTCTTCCGCCAATGGCAAGCTGACCTCGGTCTTCAGAATTCAGACGTCGCACACGAGGGCCTTCGACGCAACCGTGCGGAGGACATGCCACGCTGCCTGCGACGACGCCCCCCCGGCCCCCCCCCCTCGGAAGCGAGCGCGCTCCTGGGCCAAGCGGCGAGCCGAGACAAGTCGTCGCAACGCCGGCTGCGCCGCCACCGAGTAGATGTCCAGCACGGTCTCAAACTCGCCGTCGCAAGCGCTACCTAGGACAGGCAGGCCGCCCTCCACCTGGATAAGGTTTGTGATGGTTGGGTCTGGCCCGCGTGTTTTCTCGCTCCACTCCGGGATGTAGGCCACTCTTTGTGAAGTTGAGCTCGCCGCTGATGCGCGCCAGCTCTTCCTCTGAGATGCCGAGGACCTCGTCGACGTGCGGTGGCCCCGTGACGAGCAGCACGTCGTCCACGAGGCTGGGGATGTGGACCCGGTGTGCTTGGCCGCCAGGCAGGCGCCAGCAGCCCGCATGCATAGCCGCAAGCCTCGTGAGAAAGCTGGCGTAGAAGATGTATCACCCCGCGACGTTCCCCTTTCCACCCTGATCCTCCTCCAACGCCCTCCCCATCCTGAGTGAGCGCCGTGATGGGCGCGCCCCAAAAGCCTCCCAGGAACGCCACGCTGGACGTGCACCAGCACGTCGTGTCCCGAAGCATGACTGTGCGCGCGACGGTGCCGTAAGCATTGGCCGCGTCCAGGCTGCAATAAGCCAAGTTGAGGCACAACTTCATGAGGCCCTGGTGCACCATGAGCATAAGCTCTGGGCCTGCCAGCTGACCACGATGCTGCGTCCTGGGGACCCCTTCGGAGTTGGAGCCGGCATCACGGGGCCGCTGGTGTCTAATGATATCCTGGATCACGCCACTCGCGAACTTGAAGAATGTGTCCTTCTTGACGGGCCTCGGGGCCTGCTCCAACATGAGGCGTGCCAGGCATGGAGGCACCCGGTCATCGGCCCAAGCCTGGACCCAGGCAGTGAGGCACTGGACGCCTCTCCTGACCTCCCGAATGGCGCATAGAGCGTCGTTGTGCACGTCGCAAAGCCTCTGGCCTGCGCCCCCACGCGCAACTGTAGCAGCGTGGATCTAACGTCCCGCTCCTTCATTTGGATCGTGACATCTGCTGCGGCCGCCCAAGCCTCGTAGAGGGCCTTGCGTAAGTCATCGGCGTCGAACGGGTGCTGCACCAGCTGGTCGCTCTGTGCTGCTGCGGCGGCCTCGCACGCGATCTGCCCTCGGAGGATCTGCGCCGTTGTCCTGGTGCAGTCGTGCTCTACACTGGTGATTACAGCAATTCGCCTGCGTCACGTCATGAGTTCTGCTGCTGCTGCTGCTGCTGTTGGTGGTGCTGGTGGTGCTGCTGCTGCTGCTGTTGCTGCTGCTGCTGGCGGAGGGCCTCAAGACACGCTGGACGATCGTCGGGCCTCCTGAATTGTCGTGGGGCGTCTTGGCGGCTACGCGGTGCCTGGGGCCTATGGGCACCTGTCGACCCTCAGTTTTTACATGTACTGGCCCGCGCGCATAGGCTCGAATACCTGCAAGTGAGACCGCGTCAAACTGGGAAAACCGAACAGCAGCCCTGCCGAATAGAACGCCGACGCCCCACAGGTCAGGCTGTGTCCCGCACCAAGCACCAGAAGACACGTGCACCAACAGCAGGGTGAGCGCCGCGTGACGATATGAGGCCTCATTGAGAGGTCTACTACGTAGACTGGGTCCGAGCAGATGGGGTCGGAGGATCGCACCGAATCGCCGATGCATCGGCGATGCATCGGCAATGCATCGGCGATGCATCGGCACCACCAGCATGGAGAAAATCGGGATGCACATCGATCTGGGCGCCCGCAGTGGGTACGGAAAAAATCGGCACGGTGCCCAACAACAAATGTTCTTCAAAACCGACAGCTACCTCTGTTGGGCAGGCGGCCTTCTGTCGCAAATGCGCAACGTCCGTGGCAGTCGAGCGCACAGCACCCCGGCCCCAAAGCAGGCAGCGCCTGTGCACAGAGGGCGGCGCAGAGCTCCGAGTCTGCCGGCGGAGCGGCCGCGCGCGACTGCGCGCCTCAGTGGCTCACCCTGGGGACCTTCCTGGGGCCACGCGCTCACCTCGTGTGACGATGCTGCGCCGAACGTGCGTCGGCCTGAGTCGCAGTCGAGCGGAACTTGAGTCGAGCTACGCAGGGTGAAATAAGAGTCGAACTGGGGTCGAAAAGGTCCGTCGCGTAGGCCCCAGGAGGGCCCGCGGAACGATCATCGACGACATCGTCTGCACAACGAATCGCAGGCTCGCAGGGGCGCGGCCTTGACCTCCTCCACGGCCTCCTCTGCCTCCGCCTCCTCGCCACCTCGGGAGCGACCCCGCGCGCGGAGGTGGAGGGGGCGATCCCCGCATCTTCTTCCTCCTGCTCCGCCTCCTCCTCCTCCTCCTCCTCCTCCTCCTCCTCCTCCTCCTCTTCCTCCTCCTCTTCCTTATCATCATCATCATCATCATCATCATCATCATCATCATCATCATCATCATCATCATCATCATCATCATCATCATCATCATCATCATCATCATCATCATCATCATCATCATCATCATCATCATCATCATCATCATCATCATCATCATCATCATCATCATCATCATCATCATCATCATCATCATCATCATCATCATCATCATCATCATCATCAGCATCACATCATCATCATCATCAGCATCATCATCATCAGCATCAACAACATCATCATCATCATCATCATCATCAGCATCATCATCATCATCATCAGCATCA